TACTATGTGCCAGTTACCATTCTAAACATTTTGGATATTTTTTTGTTTCATTTTCATCTCACCTTTATAAATATCAAATCAAGTACTAAATTACCTTTCCAATTTTTTATTTAAAGAAACTTTTCTCTAATAAATAGTGAGGGGGGCACACCTCATCAACAAGGATACCTACATAATGAACCTTTGTATACCTAACCCTGAATTGTACCCCACATCTTTAAAATAAAATAATTTTTTAAAAAATGAAATACAAAAAAAAGTGAGATCATGAAATTGGATTGGGGAAAAATAAAATCCACAGTCTGTCTACTGACTGGATTACAAAAGCCAATTCTCAATAAAGGGAGTCTGTATTCCCAGATCAGGGAAGACAAAGAAGTGATCTTTCATGATAGTCTAGGGGGAAAAAACGAATACTCAAATTCAGGTTCCTTGTTGGTTTGGGTTCTTAAGTCGGGTTTCAGTCATATTTTGTAAGCTTTAGGGTAAGACAATGCATATCAAAAGTATTCATTTTTTATACCAGAATTTTTTATATCAGATCATCTTATAAACCATGATTTTTTAAAAATGCAGTTATCAGTTAACCTTGTCATAACATCTTATTAAATACTTATTGAATGAATATCAATTAAGCATAAACTTTAAATGAATTTCTAAAAAAAATCAGGTACATCTGACTTGGTTTTTAAAGTAGGTCTTTCGAAAACTAAATACTCACTTGTGTTGTATCTCTTAAGTCTGACTCTTCATTGCCATAAAGAGTGGCATAGACAAGCAAATACTAGGAGGAAATGATCCTTGGAGAAAAAGATGATGTATACTTAAAGATATAATAATTATCCAAGAAATGATGCTGGGCTTAAACACTATTTTTTTCATAATAAACTAAAACAAAACAAAAGCATTATCCAAGGATGTTAGATCAAATTATTAGGTAGAACCATATGAAATTGCTGATAACTTGATTTTATCTACAAAAATGGCAATTTCAAATAGTTCAACCTAAAACAATAGTGAGAAATAAAGAGTAGGTAAAAGGGAATCCAACACCAGAGGAAACTAAAAAACTCATTAATTTCTTCATGCAACATTAACTCTATAGAAATGCCACAAATAATATATTGAGAAATTATAGCACTTGCCTAAAATGTAGTACCCAGAAGACATTTCCATAGAATTCACAGATGTCTCAGACAAGTAGTAATTTCACAACAATTAACATCTTGGAAGCTAACCTCATTATTCCCTGATTTATTACAAATAAGAATGTTTTTCTTTCCTTTTTAAAAACAAGAAATCATCTTGAGCCCCAAGCCATATCAGGATCCCAAAAGATGAGATTTAGTCTTTGGCAATGGATAAAGATAGTGTGGTATCCTGGTAGTGGATGTGCTGGAAAATGTTTGAAAACCAGTTTCCAGGGTGAAAAAATATATATGTGTGTATGTGTGAGTGTGTCTGTGTGTATGTGTGTGCATATAGTGCACTTTACTGATATAAAGGATATATAACACATATTGTGCAAATAATAATCAAATGTACAATATTGTAAGTTGCATATAGCCAGTTGATTCTCATACAATACGTCTACTGATGTTGGCCAAACTCTTGCATCACTAGCTAACTTCTGATTGCACTACTTGCAAATAAATATAGTTCCAATATCCATGTTGGTTAATATTATCATTATGCTAAAAAGTAGGACACAAGTGAAACAATGAAGACATATATTAGACTTCGCTCAATTGTTGATGATATAGGTGACTCTTGCTAAACTGGATAATAATTTCTGATTACCAGAAAAAAAAAAGTTTCTTCGTTCTTTTCTGCTATCCACATTTTAACAGCTTTTGAAACTACTCACTTTTAAGTTTAATATGCGTTATTAGAATTTTCTCCATCACTTTTTAAAGTCTAGAGACAACTGACAAAAAAATAAATCAAGCCCTGATTTGCAGCATTCGCTGGTTTCTATGGTGTAAATACTACCATCAATAGCCAATTTCAAGTTACCAATATAAAGTCACTGAATACAGAGCTGGGAAGAGAAATGCAGTTGCACACCATTTTATAGTATTTCTACCACACAGACACAATATATTAAAATAATCTTAAGAGTATAGATTATAATAAATGTAGTGAAATAAATAGAAAACAATGGATTTTAAGTATTTATTACCTCTGTTTTAATATAATTATTTAATTGGATGTTTATGTAGTTTAATCTTTCATAGAATTTGTATCTAACAACCAGCTTGCAACATCCTTGATAACAACTGACTCTTGCAAGTAGATAAGAAATGGTTCTACCACACCACTGGGAAATAAAAATATTCTCATTGCTGAGGTTATCTCTAATACATTTCAGTTATATATATATATATTGTTGCTAGCGCAACTGAAGCTATTTTCTAGCCTACAATAGAAGACTAAGGCGACTTAAGTTTATCTAGGTTTTACATGGGGATATTAGAATCTAGCTCCAACTATAAGATTCTGGTTTATTAAAAGAGTAGCAACCATTCTAAACATAGAATAATCATTCTAAATATATAAAAAATTTACAGTAGTTCTATATATAGTAGTTCTTTAATCTTCGTTTTAGATATTTATTCTAAGAACATTTCATAGTTGTTAAATATATTAAGTAATTAAACCCTAAAATATAGTAAGGTTAACTACGTAACCTCACAAGCACCTCTAAAAAGCCAAAAATTTGCCACCTGATAATTGATAATAATGAAACTTGGAGGCACATGAAATTCATTGCTATAGGATCTCTCAAAGCCAAATCTTGCCTCTGGGTACTTCAAAGGAGTTAGGTAGCACTGAGGCCAATAATAACATGTTTAAAAAGGCCTAATCTTATTCTACACTTGCGAGTGTAAGCTGATCAGTTGAAGAGCCAGAAAAGAACTGCCTACCCTTGTTACTTGCTTTCTGCTCAGCATATATAACATTTCACAAGTGAGAAAGTGAAGGACCCAGGCAATTTCAACTTTCCTCTGAAGTACAGAGATCTACTGATACGATAAACTATTGAATGACTAGCAATATCAATTCATTAGTAGTATTCCCCATCCAAATTCTTTCTCCTAAAGCACAAGATCCTGGCCTCTAAGATCCATCTGTTCTTAATTTCTACTCCGCCTGTAGGTCGATAAAAATAAATTTCACCATACTGGTATCCTGACTGCTTTTTTCCTCTTCTTTTTGTAAATACAGCAATATTTGAAATCAATGCATTTTTATACTTCTTTATACTACCATGTTGAAAAAATTACCAAATCTTGGAATTTCATTTTACATGAGAAAGAGGATTATTAAATAAGATATAAAAGAGGGACTTCAACTTTAATTGCCATAATTTCAAAAATATGAGTTGTTTAAAATGAAATATTTATGACATCTGTAATAACAAACTACTAATCCTGTAACCTTCTAGCCATTAAACAACCCCTCTCTTCAAAACACAATTAAAAAAAAAAAACCAGAGGAGACACAAAAACCAAACCATTTCCTGTCAGGAGCAATATTCCAGGTAAGAGTAGAACCGTCAAATTGAAGTCGAAATGTTTCAGACTAGAGTCTCTCTTTTATGAGTTGTTTTTATTTATAAAACAGCATTTTATTTAAATTATTTGTTTATAACCAGTTTTGCTTAAAATATATATGCCAGAGAAAGTCTGCTAATAGTCAGCTTTCTTCCAGCCAACCAATAACTGTATTAAGTCAGAAAACGCTATTTCCAGAAATGAAGTGGCTGAATTGAAATTCAGTTTATACAATTCACTTAATCCAGCTTTCTCCATGACAACACGTTTTTTGTTACTCTGAAAGTGCAGTTGAAGGCAATGAATTAGCATCTCCCTTTCTACTCATTTCTCCTAATACTAAAAATGACGGGAATGGGTTGGAGTCTAGAGAACGCCTAGCAACTTTTTTCACCATGCCTTCCTTTGCCATACCTCATGGAAACTGACTTCTCCCTTCTCAAATTGCTCCCAATCATGAAACAAAGACAATAATATAGAAGATAGACACTTTACAGAAAACCCTGGTAAATGCAATACAAATAGGATATAGTGCTTTCCCTATCGTTAAATAATGAGGTTAATATCACATCTTGAATAATTATTCTTGCATCTGACTACCATTACTATATACCAAGAAAGAAGATTGTTTTTCCTTTTGGCGGGGTAAACCTAACAATGAGTCTTACTTTGATAAAATGGTTATTTAAATAGGCTGGACACTATTTCATATACCAAGCAAACACTTCATGATATGAGATTTCAAGGCATTCATCATATCTTACTAGCTCCTGATTCTGACAAGCCACTTTGTCGAAAACGTTTTCCCTGATATACTCAACAATCTACAAGTTTGCTGATTCATCTGAAATGTTCCGTTGTTTCATCATAGAGTTATTACCAAACCACCTCAGTCAATCAGAACAGATGCATATATGGAGCAAGCAAGACACCATGGCATTGGCGGCTACTACAACTGCTGAGATCTTTCAAGCAAGACCGCAAACCTGCCCACTTGGATTAAAAAAAAAAAAAATCACGAGGCCAGGCAAGGTGGCTCATGCCTGCAACCCCAGCACTTTGGGAGGCCAAGTACAGGAGATTGCTGGAGCCCAGGGATTCAAGCCTACATGACATAGTAAGATCTCATATCCACCAAAAAAACTGAAAAATTAGCTGGGTATAGTGGCATGTGCCTGACCCCAGCTACTTGGGAGGCTGAGGCAGAAGGATCGCCTGAGCCCAGGAGGTGGAGGCTGTGGTGAACCGTGACTGTGCCACTGCACTCCCGCCTGGGTGACAGAGTGAGACTCAGACTCAAAAAGGAATAAAAAAAGTCATTATGAAATGGTTGTGGCATATGAACTTGAGAAAAGAGAGGTTAAAAAAAAAAGATGACAAGACATGAAGTAAAGGTGACTGAGAGGGAAAAGAGAAAGCAGCAGCCAATTGGCCCTGCATTACCATTATCAGGGTTGGTAAACATCCTACTTGCACTGGAGACGGTCTTCCCAATGTCAGCCAGGGACCGAAGGTTGGACTTCTTGGTTTGATGCCGGTGTTTCCGGAGCAAAGTATAGGTCACCTTGTCCTTAAGGTCAGGTTTCAATAGGCCCGTTTCAATCTGATGGTCAACAATCATCTCTGATACAAAGACAAAGCAAAACAAAAACAAAACACAAAACTCAGTCACAAGACCACAAAGTTAATTTTTTACTCTAATTTGACAGATGTCATTTTTTACTCTAACTCAATGGATGTCACCCTCAAATTTAATATAAATATATTATTTCCAAATGTCCAACTTTCCATTTTATAGAAAGATGATGGGTATAAGGATACTGGCATGAAGGAGAAAGTTATAAACATCACAGAATTGATTTTATGTTTAGAGAGGCAGAATTGTCTTGTTCTTTTATTTTTAATGCCGATTATGGTGAATTCATGTAAATCACATTCTTCTATGAGTAACACAGTAAGTCAGTCATTTATATTTTTTTCATTAAAAAAGTAAGATTTGGGGTGGGAGAGGGGGAAACAAAGTAAGATTCAAACATTTCATGTACTCTCATAGCAAATGTATCAGAAATATAAATGATATGAAAAAACTCAAAGAGAATATACAAAATTTAAAGTAGCGAGATTATTGATTTTTAAAATCTATTTTCCCAATTCTTCTGTAATGTTACATTTTCTTTAAAACAGAATAAGGGAAGTGAAAATAATATCTTTCCCAGTATCAGGTCATATGAACACCAATTAATCCAATGAAAGAAAGGTTAAACTGCAAAAGTATGCCTTAATAAGGGAGGCTTATTCTTCTTGCTCAAATTCAACTAAAGCCTTTCCAATATATTTTCATTGGTCATTTTAAAGTATAACCTGCTAGAATTTTTAACAAAATTCTAATATATTATCTTACTACAAAAAAATTAAAATTTCTATTAACTCTTTTTTAGTATGATTTTAACCAAAAAAGACGACTGTGTTTTTTAGAAATTGCTCTGTGGGTCACTCTGCTGAGACATAAGTTCTTATTCCGATAGAATACAAGAAGTCCTCTTTCTCACAAGTCAGCATGTCCATAGAATGGCATAAGGGTGGCCTGGTGCATTCTCTTCGGACATCTACATGACAGGCCAAAATTTATCTCCACCCAAAATGGGCCTGAGGACAAAATATTAAAGGATTTGTAATATTTAAGAAATGCAAGATCTGCATTGGTAGAAAGCTACCTCGCTGTATGCAAGTAAAACTTTTGTCCCTTGCATAGAGCTAGAACCATAAATCTCATGCCTGTCTTTACTGGTCATGGTTGTATGTAGCACACATTCATATTTTCCTCTTAGGCAAGCTTCAGTATACAAAAGCGAAGAAGAGAGCAAAAGCTATGCTTTCCTAGAAGTCTGACAAGAAAATCGATGGGTACCAGTAGGACGACAGCTTCTCCCAAGGACTCCCATCTCTTTGTAAAGAGAAGTTACAGATGTTCAAGGGACTTTGCTTGGGCATGACTGCACTTCTCAGAAGTTCACCTTTACAGCAAGCACTCACAGAATTGGCCTCACAGCCAATAGCTAGAAACTATTACACAGTGTACACAGTGTACAGTCAGCTAATTGGAAGCCAAGCAGAGGTTGAATCCAGGATTTTCCATCACAAGCCTCACACAGATGCAATAACATGTCACACAGCACTGGACCACTTGGTAAGAACCTGGGCGTGGCAGAAGAGTTTCTCCCATGGGAATGATTTGGTTTGAAAGTGGTCGTAAGTGCTGAATATTTTTAGCTACATAAATCCCACTCAGGAAAACTCCCAGAACTGATCCTGTAATTAAAATTAACCCTCTATCCCACAGTAAAAGAGTTGCTTGCAGAACACAATCCCTCCACTTTCCCTTTAAGTCCTCTTAAAGTAGAAAGTCCATTTCACAGAAAACCATAAAAACAAACAAACAGTCCCAGCATATCTGCTACAAGTGTTATCAAACTCCTACTCTAACTCCAGGGTTGTGGATTAAAGCGTTTCTAATTTACCCTCCCTGGCAGGGCCTCCCTCTATTCCTGCCCTCCCTTGAAATCTCAAACCAATCCATATGCATGCACAGCCCTCTGTTACTAATACCTGGAAATCACCAGTTAGAACAGGTTAAGACACCTGTGTGGCTTATGCCCTTCATTAAGTTTCCATTAAAATGGCCTACATTAAAAGGATCTCTTTGAGCATAAACTATAAAACCTTTCGAAGGAAAGTGGGGGCAGTAACATTTAATAGCTACACTGAAATTAAGCTTTCAGTATTCAAAATTTCACAGACGGCACCAATGGGAAAGAATGTGTCAACTCCAGATTATAGCAGAGCATAAAGGAACTTCTTTGGGGAGTATCAAGTTCAACTTCTTGTTATGCAGAAGAGAAGAGAGGACCAAAGCAGTGACTTGCCCACAGAGGTAGACCAACTAGAGGTAAACCCCCAAATAAAACCAGGTTTTCTGACTCACAGTTTAGTTTAGTTCACATCACACAACATTTTTCTTTATTTAAAAAGGAAGCCCCAGAGAAAAAAAAAAAGAATTGATATATGCAAGAGCCTTTACAAATCAAGGAAAAAGATGGCCATGCAACAGAGAAACAGGCAAAGATCACAAACATTCTTAAAAGAAAAAGGGCTAAAAATATATAAAAATCCAATTTCAAGGTGAACAAAGACAATTTAAATAAATTTATACAAATGTAACCAATTATTAGATATTTGTAATCTATCAAGTGATAAAAATTAAAAAGACAAATCAGCCCCCCATGATGTGAAGGGTGTGTGCAATAGACAACATCATACTGATGACAACGACACAGCGTTGACTAGTAAGTACAAACTTTCTTCAGATGTCATTCGACAAATACGTATCAAAGTCCTTTAACATGTTCAAATTGTAATATTCTACCATTAGAAATCATTACTAAGAAAATAAATCAATTTCACAAAAACATAATAAAGATGTTCACTTATTCTCTTTACAATTAAAACTTGAAGGCAACTAACTGCCCGATAATATATTATTGAATATTTTGCAGCCATTAAAATGTTTATATTTCTATTTAATACCATGACAAGCATACTATGTTTTTAGGCTAAAAAAAAAGGCAGACTAAAATGATGCAGAAAGATCTCATTTTGTAAAATCAGTTATATATGTGTAAACAGAGTTGCATAGAGAAAATCCGGAGGACAGTTCTGAGGGATTAGATAAGTGGATGTTTTTATTTTTATGTGTTATATTTTCCTGAATTATAGAAAAAAATGAACACGTTACTTTTGGGAATAGAAAAAATAAAGATATTGTCATTTTGAAAATATCAAAGGTATGAAAAATAAGAAACAGGACTAACACACCTGCCAACACACACAGCTCAGGAATGCCTTTAAATATATGAAAATGAGAACTCCAAAAATAGAATTACATTTTCCCAATCCATTTCCCATCATAATAAAATACCTGAAATGGCTTCTAATTTTTTTTAACTTAGTAGGGGAGGAAAGTTCCCAGACTCGGCTCCATATGTGAATGACATACTTCAAATATAGAATTACAATGATGAGTCTAATAATAAAGCTATTAAAATAATCTGTGAAAATATGTTTTATCCTTTATAATATTTTACAGACACATTTTTCTATTAACATTCAGAAGGGATTCTTCACACACAAAAAAATAAGTAGAAGTCCTAAGAAGAATCAAAAATAGGCTGAAATTTTTATGTAAGTGTGAGAAGTAACACCTGCTTAAACAGTTGCCCACCATGGCGCAGGGCCCTCACGTGGTGTGGCACTGTCTTTGAGCCTGCAGGGTGGGATACCTCTCAGAGGTAGACCCATGAGGTGTAGCAGGTGGACTGCAAGGAAAGAGGAAACCCATGCTAATATTTGTTTGATAAAATCACACTTGCTATTATTTCTTTTTCTTCTCATTTGTTGAAATAAAATTGGGGTGCAGTGGGAAATGCATCATAGGGCCTAGCTGTGCATAATTCTCAACTCAGAACTACCAGCAGGACCCAGGACAAAGCAACTCCACTTTATGCTCCGCTAGAAAAGGATTTTTTGGTGGCGAGGGGGATTTTTTTAAATAGCCATATAATGACTGTAACTCTTCAAGTGACTGTGCCATCTTCTGTCATCTAAAATGAAACAAGGGCTTTGTTTTCTTCATGTTTTACCCTTCATAAGGCTCTGATTCTTTTAAAGGATTTTTTAAGTATTTCTTTTTGGTCAGTTACAAGCTTTCAAACATATTCTTCTCTCCGCTTCTTCAAATCTGGCTTTCTTCTCCGACTGGTGATATGTTATTTGCCTCTGAATTGTTTTTCTGTATTATCAACTCCAGAATGACAGCACTGGCTCTCTGCCTGTTCGCCCCAGGGACCACAGAGCAAACATATTAGTGAGTGATGATACCTCCAAGTGACCTAGTGCTGTCTAATTTTAACATGTAATGACAATTTCTGAAGTAAATGCATGGAGGTTAAAGAAAAAGTTCACAGTTGATAACAAAAAGTAATGGAAAATTAAAGGGGAATGTAAAATGCTTGATGAACCTCTCTTACATGAGGTAAATACCAGAACGACTCTCTTTGGTCGTTGGCTAAAGATGTTTCGGTATAATGTGAAACTCTGTCTGCTATTACATGTAAGGGGTCAGTTATTTGCTGAAGACCAGAAGTGCCTTAAGATGGCCCTTTCTGGTGCTGAAGATCCTGAAGACAGTTTTACAAAAAAACCCACGTGCATCATTCAACATTAACTTTCACCACCCTTGTTGATTAGCTGCTAGAACAGCAAAGAAGTTGTCCCACTGTTTCCAGTTCTGCCCACCACACCGTTCAGAGTCTTTTCTCCCATTCATGAAGTCGCTGAGCATCTATCTGACTCAATCAGTCTGTACTCAGCCCTCTGCTAGGCGACATGCAGAAAGATCCAGATAAAGTAATTTATACTGGAATAGAGATGTAAATATGTAACAATCACATCTGAAGATCTCAATTAATTCTCATAAAAACCCTGAAAGTTACACCTTTACCATGCTTTTATAGATGCAAAAAGCAAGACTCCAAAAGAGTTAAATAATTTGTCTTGGTCCATGGTCACACATGCTAACAGGGATAGCTGTTAGTTATAACTCCCCAACTTTAAATCCAGTATTCTCTCTACAATTCCACTTTGGATCTCATGAAATTAATATATGGCCCTTCCCAGGGATTATGTATATTGTAATAGAGGACAAAACCTGAGCTTAATGGAATGAATCTCTAAATGAGAGAGCTTTAGGCAGTAACGATAGTAAGATTGATTTTTAAACACGGGAACTTTCCTGGTGACCCTTATTCTCCTCCTAGATTGCCTACACATTGCTTAGTCACAAGTTTCTTCTCCATTTTGCCCTGAATGTATGCACTTCTGACTTAGTTTTCAACTTGTGCAATTTCTGACATTTTTGTTCTAGGTTAGTTCTTAAAGTCTGAGAACGTAGAAATCATAATTCTCACTCAAAACTAGACTGATTTTTGCTAGTCATGTTACTTTGTTGGATAACACTCTCTTTTGCAGTTTTTAATAAGTGAAAAAGCCAATGAAATAAATTGTCCAGATCATTCCTAGTTTGCTTCTCTTTGTCTTTGTAGATGGACTCCACTCTCCGGGTACCATAATCCAAGATCTCTCCTCATACATCAAATTTTCATTTTTAACCTCATCTGCCTTTTCAATATGAAAAATTCTACATAAAGCAGTGCTTCCTCTATTATCTTCAAATGATCCACGTGGATTTTTACCTTGTCCCATTTACAGAGTGGCAGATTTGCAAACCTAATTCCAAGGCCTAGAACAATGTCTGACACATTGTTTAAGCTCATGTACCACTGCCAAAAAAATTGCATGAAATAATTATTTCTATCCATGCAGCATCTTTACATTAGTCCTTCTCCCTTCTTCACTTATAACTTCAGTACTTCGGTGTATGAAAAGCACAGGGCTTCTTTGCAAATCTAACTAACAATCTCTCTGAAAAGCAACCAGGCATACATACATCAGCCATATATATGTTTTATTTGACAGCTAATCTGTCCTTCCAACACAAATTCTGTAGCCTTCATATTATCCATAAAGACCTAGATGGCAAGGATGACCCTTTTTTCTGCAGTTAGACAAAGACATTTTGCAGTAAGTCTGAAATTACACAAGAAAGTTACACTGGTTACTTTTGGCAGGACCACAATCCATACCCTCTTCCCCACAACTCCAGGGTAGGCACACTGAAGATCTCTTAGAAAAGGGCACTCATCCCTACAGTCTAGTGCTCACCTGGTGATGGAATTTTCCTAGGAATAACAAGTGGAGCCCCTGCACCTCTTTTTAAGAAAAACGTTATCTTCGGCACATCTAGATCTGAAGGGTAATTAAGGCAGCTTAGGCAAGGCTCTTGACAGAAAATGAAAATAATTACACCAGCATGGAATGCAGTGATGTGTGTGCCCAAGGTGTTCAGCATGATAAGTTAACATTCAGTGCACACAACACTAACTACAAAAGATGCCAAAGCTGTCCTGTGCCATGAGGTTCAGTGACTTCGATGGTGGCAATACAAATGATACTTGGCACCAATGTGACCTGCCTGACTCAGTCACTAACCCGGAAGGTCCTGCTGAAACCCAGCCCCACAGAGCCTTTCTCTACACACAGCCAAGGGAGCTTGACTTATAACTACAATCAGCCCAATCCAGAACCTAAACCATTTCCCTTCTTACAAAGGATTTAAGCCCTATTTTATAGATGATGAAACTGAGGTTAAGAGAAGCTCAGTTCAAGCACAAGGTCAAAGAGTTCTAGAAACCTAGTGTCCAGACTTCCAGTCCAATATAACCAAGGATGGGTGAATGAGGGGACTCTATTCAAAATATTAACCGCATGCAAAGAAAGAAAGTGAATGCAAGTCTGTACATATACAATATAATCCCAATTATGATGAAAATTAATGCTTAAAACAAAAAGCCCAAGGGAGAAGATTGAGAAAAAAAAAAGGAAAGAAATATTCCAAAATGTTAACAATGGCTATGACCAGAAGGAGGTATTATGGATTTTTTTATTTTTTTCTTAGTATGTGTCTGTATTTTCCACATTTTCTGCTATAAATCACACTGTTCTTATAATATAAAAAAAGAAGCTTGGTGCAGAGGTTCATGCTTGTAATCCCAGCACTATGGGAGGCCAAGGTAAGCAGATGACTTGAACCTAGGAGTTTGAAACCAGCCTGGGCAACATAGCAAAACACTTTCTCTACAGAAAAATCAAAAGATTAGCTGGGCATGGTGGCACATGCCCATATTCCCAGCAACTTTGCAGGCTGAGGATGAAAGATCACCTGAGCCCAGGAGGTCAAGGCAGCCATAAGCCATGACCATCATGATCATGCCACTGCACTCCTCCAGCCTGGTCAACAGAGTGAGACCCTGACTCAAAAAAAAAAAAAAAAAAGAGAGAGAGAGAGAGAGAAGGAATTGTTATGAAATATTTAACTCTGCTTACTAGTAGTCATCTGCATTGATAGAGAATTGTGGATAAGTAAAGCTGAAATTTAAAAAAAAGAACTTAGAACAGCATACTTACCCACCAACTGTGGGAGAGAAGAAGCCTCCCGGTCCAGCATGATGGATCCTTTCTCCATGCATGTCCTCAACTCAAACAAGCTATGAAGGGACAGTGTGGCCACATGAGGCTTGCTCCATCGTTCCCCGCCCTGTTCCACTTTTTCTTCAAACTTTATCCACCTAGGAAGATGAGATTCATGAAGAACAATTAAAAGTGTTCTAACTTCCTCTAGAAATAGCAGTGTCAACCCCTCCATCTCCACCCTTTCCAGCGCTTCCAAAATGTCTCCTTTTGTGGAGTCTTAATAGCTTATTATGTCATTAATTACATAATCTTCATAAATACACCCAAATAGAATCACTAGCTTGCTCCTTCCCCTGTTAGAAAGGAAAAAAGTCAACCAAAAGAAGCCAAAGCTTCTTTGGTTTTATATCTGCCTATACGTAACCATGAAATCCTTAAGAATTATGAATTGATTAAATTTTTTTAAATAAGGCAGAAAAATATGCACTTCGAAATTCTCCATATATGAGCGGAGCCTGCAGTGTATAAAAACAGCTGCCACAAGGCAAGGATTCTCTTTGACAAGGCAAGTTTAAATAAGGTGAAATATCAGTAATAAACCAATATTTATCTCAAATACGTGAAAAACATGGTGTATGAAGTGGTAAGATGAATGTAAAATTTCCCTTTATGGATGCTTAAAGAGGGTTAGCATATTTTGCTGTGTTTTCCTTTCATATGTATTTCTTGGCTGACATATGTTTCCCTCTCATTAAGATTTTAATAGAGGTTTCACCCTTCAAGTCTGGTTCCATGTATGCTTAAAAATACACAATCTCAGTGAACAACAGATCTACTCTGATAATAAGAGTTCTCCTATTAACCTTAGCAATGGAAGAAACAGCCTCTCTCATAGCTTCTGCTTTCTAAGACTCCTAGACATTTTGATAACTTGGCAATATATAGCGATTTTAAAAGTTTAATGGAAATGAGAGAACAACACATTTGACAGATTTTATATCCCCCATATTACACACAGAGACGCTGCCTACACTGTTAAAGGAAAACAGGGAGGCATCACCAGGTTACCATTCATCATAATCCAAACAAGAATGCTCCTTTCCTTCAGTCAAACCTTCTGAGAGATATTTAGAAAGATAACGAGGGGGTTAAAGATTGTTTTCTTACATTCTTTGCCTCAAGGTTTAATGATTGAAAAATGTTTTCCTAGAGAAAGCTAACCACTCACCTAACTCACAAGAGGAGAACAAAGGGCAGAGATCAGAGGAAGCTCTACATAAGGTATTATTTATAGACCTCTCACCGCCCCCAGAGGAGATAAAAACACATTAGTAGAACCGGGAGTGAAAATAGATCAAGAGATCTGTCACCATGTCAAAGGATATTTAGAATTTTGATCAAGCCCAACACTCACTATGATTCAGAGGTATTTTAGCCAAATCCAAAGACTGCCCCCCTCAAGCGCCTCTCAGGATGCCTCTTGCAGCCAGGCCACCCCACATGTCAATGCTAACCTCATCTCCACCTTATCTGTCATTCTAAGACCCTCTTTCCTTCTCCTGTATCGCCCTCAAAATGTAGGCAGTGAAGATTTTATGTTTACCTCATGAACTAAAAGGTCAACAAGAACATGCAATAGATTCTAAAACTTCAAAAACCATACTTGGTTTACTTATGCAAGAGTGGTTGAGACACATTTCAAAACAGAATGAAAGACTCCTAATATTCTGATGCATATGCTTGTGTGTGTGTGTGTGTGTGTGTGTGTGTGTGTGTGTGTGTGTGTGTGTGTTATTAAATTAGTATTTCTTTGCTTTGGTTGGAGTTAGAGCCAGAGAACTAGAAGGAACTGGGAGGAAAATAATAATTTTATATTACACTCATAGAGTTATATGGATCTAACCCAAACAATAAAAGGTAATTGGATAACTGAGGCTATGGTGAGAGTAATCATATTATGGAGTATATTACATTGGTTAACTTCAGGTATATCATCTTTTCATGCTTGCTCACAGTATCTCTCACCATATTTGTTGATCATTGGCCTATGATTCATATTTACTCTTATATTACAATGTATTGCTCAAGATAAGAGTTTTGAAGACAGAAGATTCCATAGTATACAAATCAAATCAGAGTTACTTAGAATTATGTCATCTGAAAAGAATGTAGTGCCTCCTTCATTGATACTCCAAGTATTCTTACGAGCTGAGGGTTAGAATGTTTGGTCAAATAACTTAAGGCCAAAATGAATGACAAGGGCCAGTTAAAAATTCTCTAAAGTGGAGTGCTTTATAAGGACTTTACATCCCTCTTATCTTTCCTAAATGAGACCCCACTTCGATCAGTTGCCAACACCCTGTACTGCCAAACTTATTTCTTTAAAAAAAAACTAAAACAAATAAGCTGGGCATGGTAGCACATGCCTGTAATTCCAGCTACTTGGAAGGGCTGAGGCAGAAGGATCACCTGAGCCCAGCAGGTCGAGGCTGTGGTTGCCGTGAGCATGCCACTGTACTCCAGCCTGCATGACAGAGTGAGACTCCAACTCAATTTTTAAAAAAACCAACTAAGCCTCACTTATATACAGTATGTAATGGTGGCTCTTTTCTGCCATCATCCTTGCTATGTTCTGAATGTTTGTGTCTGAATGTTTATGTCTTCCTGTAATTCATATATTAAAATCCTATTGCCCCTCAAAGTGATGTTAGGAAGTTGGGCTTTTGGGAGATGAGTAGATAAATCAGTGTCCTTATAAAGGAGTCCCCAGACAGTTTGCTATCCTTTTCCATCATGTGAGGACACAGCAAGAAAGTGCCATCTCTGAAAAATCAGGGTCTCACCAGATATAGAATCTGCTGACACCTTGATCTTGGACTTCTCAGCCTCCAGAACTGTGAGAAATAAATTTCTGTTGTCTAGAAGCCACCCAGTCTAAGGTATTTTGCTATAGCAACCAGAACAGGCTAAGACAATCCTCAAATATTCAAACAATTAATAGTTACTAAAATTTTCTCTAGGAAAAAAAAGAAGTAAAACCATTGCAGTTCGTTGTGGTCCATCTTTTATTCCTTTCTCTCTATTGTTTATATTGTAAGCAACCTGACTGAACTTAAATATGATGTCAAGCAAGTTTCAAAAGTACACTTAAAATCATAAATCCCTGCAAGGTTGGATTTATGTAGCATTACTCACCCTTCTGGATTACACCAGCTTTTTAGGTCAAGATTTAACCATAAAGAAATGAAAATGTAAAGTCTCAAAACCAGCCAAATTCTTAAAAATCTGTATTTCTAAGGGATAGGTATTATCTCATAGCTTATTTTAGCATCTATTTCACTCTGAGTTTAGTAAATACTGAATGTTGTGATGATGCCATACTATAGCAAGACATACAGCCTAAAGGGAACTCTGGGGTAATGTCTATTAAATTCCTTTAAAAATGCATTACTCTCATTGTTCAAGGAACTGATTATACTTCCAACATAATACATTTGGGCATAAAATACTGGTTTAACCATTTAATTATATCATTTTCAGGTAGTTTCATTCCAAAAACTACATATGTTATGCCTATCCTCTTCACATATCAAGGACAAACTTGAAAAAAACTGAAAACTACCCGATTCAAACCAGAACCCATTAAAGAGAAGGCTAAGGCAAAGGTACCAAAGTTCACCCTATTCAAGTGCCAATGAATCTGCAAAGGTGCTTAGGAACCATGTAATTACATTTAAAAAAAAAAAAAAAAAAAAGCAAGCATTTTTACTGTAGAACGTACTAAAAGCCACTATCTACCCTTCATAATAACTATGAATAACCATATATTTGCAACATGTTTCCTACTTTTCCTTTGGTTTCAGTACTTGACATGTTATAGAACAATTCATTTCAGAGGTAGGCTTTTTAAATGCTTGCAATTACAAAACTGGTATAACCTTGGAGGAAGAGTTTATGAAGTGAAGTTTATTTATTCCAAGGTCTTGGAAGAATAATGATAAAGTACTTTGCAGTTTCACACATTTTGAGTGACTGCCAGTCAAAAAGCATTTCGTTCGTTTGTTGAAGAAGGAGAAGGCCCACTGGGAATCACTGAATTTTGCAACTTTCCAATCATATGATTAAATATAATTAAGAAAAAACAAGACCTCTAACTTAAAAACACACCATTTTACAGTGGAAAATAGACATGACCTTTGCTCTAAAATAAAATCCAACTACATACAACTATTGAAATGATAATAAATTTATTGCTAACTAATAAGTGTCTTGTCCATCACACATAAAAGAAGCCAATATTAATGTGTACCTGAGAGAAATAATGTTTTAAGGAGAATTCTTAAATTTCTAAATCAAATCAAATCATAAAAGTTATTGTACACAATTACATAGGTATAACTACATCAAATTACATAGGTGATTAAATTCCTTAAGTCTTTTCTTAAAGAAAAAATAAACTTGGTCAGAAATAGAATTTCCCAAAGTAATCCAGTAGAGACAAGACAGGGAAGTCAGTGCAGATGGCGAAGAGAACAGTCTCTCTTCAAACCCCACAGTGTAAGTGCATGTATTGGTGTTTTTATGACCATGCCCTTAAATCAGGTTCTCCAGATGTGGGTCAGGTCAATCTGCCTAACAGAAGCCCAAATGGGTGTTCATTTGTGCTGACCAACTGGAAGTGAAACAATACCCTTTGCCTTTGTTGGCTTGTGTTTGTTGAAACTTGTGACACTTTTTCTTTTTAGACAGGTTTGGCAGTACAGTATGAATTACACCAGGGGAGTGATCTTTAGAATATATTCATATAAACAGTGGTGAAGGCCAGTACTGTCCATCTAAAAATTCACTGACCAAAAACAGACAGCTGATCACCATTTTTGCAGAGATACCCCTCACTTAAAGAAATAAAGAATTTGGACAGGAATAAAAGGTCTCTTTCTCCTGACTTTGGGTCCACATCAAAGTTGGACCAAAATATTCTTTTACCAGTTTGCTTCGTGAACCCATTCTTCACGAACCCATTCAACTAGACATCCTTAATGGGAGCATAGGCTTCTTCACTATTCCAAATGATTCCAGTAGAATTACTCCTATGTTGCTGAATGTTGTTAGTCTGATGATCAAAACACGCAGCAATACCTTTGGAAAAAGAACA